TTTGCGTTCTTGAATTTATTAGGTTAATGAAATTAAGGGTGGATTGACACCTCTTATGCCGGCGGTTGATTGGAAAAAAAAGCCTCCATCAGATAAAAAGGTTCTGTTTATTTTTTTCTTTATGAATTTCGTTAAGTTGTTTGTTAGTGCTGTGATTTGTGTGAATAGTGATGCAGCATGATGATTTTATCGGTTTTGATTGAAATTAGGGTTGAAAATTGTACAAGTTTGGTTTATAATATTTGGTTCATTACATTATCATCACATATTTCAGTTTTTTTTTTTTCATTCAGGTCACTTGGCAATGGCTTCCTTTCAAGCATTCTGCTCGTAAAGATGATCTTCAGCTTAGCCATTGGGTAATTCCATTACATCTGTCAGTTTCAGCGAAATTTATGTTATCGGAGATCATTGAAATATTGTCGTATCTTTCCATGATAGTAAAAAACTCGTTCCAATGCACATCCTTACTCAAGCCAAACAGATTCAATGAAGTGTTCCTTTTGTTGCCATAACTATATGCCAGATTTGATTCATTAATTGGAAAATAGGCTTTCCAATTCATGATTTGATAATGAAAGCCGCTTTTATTTCAACAGGTTAAAGTTGTGAATGGTGTTCCACCAACAGGGGACTATTCTTTTGCCAAGTATAACAAGGTAAATGCTGGTTCAGTCTTTAGCTTCATGATGCCTGCTTTGCATTTTTCTCTATTGACTCTAGTAAATATCTTTTACTTACATGACTTAATTTATTTTTGCATGCTATGCAGTCTGTTGACATAACGAGATACACAGACGAGGAGTATGAGAAATATTTGGCAAATTCTGTAGGTATCATGACTAGATTGTATGTCTAAAATTGTGTTGACCTTCACATTTGAGTTTGCTCAAACAACAGTTTTTGCAATTTTTAATGCTACAAAGAACTGAATTCTATGTGATGTATCATGTTATCGTTGCTGTTGCCGTGTCTTCAATGACCTTTATTGTTAGTATGTATATTGAAAGGCCTTTTTTGTGTATATATTTTTCTAGTGACTGAGTTAGCTGTAAATAAATAATAGATTTTATGATCTATTTGAAGGGATCTGTATATCTGAACTTAACCGTCACGTAGCATCTGCATCTTTTGTACACTTGTTTGTACTTCCTATGTGAAAGCATAGCAGTGTAATTCTGTGTTATTTTAAGAGTTGGAATTTGCTACGCATTTGACCGTTCGTTTTGACATCTCTCCATTATGGAATTTTTAATGTGTTTCTTTCTTCCATGAATTATATTTATGTAGAACTGGACCAAGGAGGAAACAGATCAACTGTTTGACTTGTGTGATAGGTTTAATCTCAATTTTATTGTTATAGCTGATAGGTTTCCTTCACCTCGAACTGTTGAAGAAATAAAGGATCGATATTATAGTGGTACGGGTATTATTTTCACCAAATCACATATGCTGTATTCAGTTTTCATTTCCTTTTATTCCTAGTTTGACTAATTAAAGACTACATGAGAAAATGACATTTTCCTTGCCATGCAGTATCTCGGGCTATATTAATTGCTAGGAATCCATCTTCTAGGGATGGTGCTGTGGATCCACTTGTTAAGGTGTGGTTACTTTTTGAGCAAGCTATGCACTGTTCTCAAGCAAACTCTCTTGTTTTTTTGATCACACTGTGTTTCGTAAAATTAGTTCTTTCCAGCATTAGGATGTTGCAATGTAGATTTAGTTGCTTATTCTTCCTCCTTAGTGTAGGAACCATATAACGTTTCACAGGAGATTAAGCGGAAACGAGCTCTGTCTCTAATCCTCTCTCAAACAAAACGACAAGAGCGTAGAGATGAAGAGGTTTTTTTCTCTTTCCCCTTTTAACCAGTAATATTTATGTCTGCTATAATTGTACATTCAGAGGAAATGAAATAAATATAGGTATTCACTACTGTATTATATGCAGGTGCTTGCTGAAGCAAAAAGAATTTCTGAATTACGCAGAAAGGTAATTATCAACGGTTGTTTTTGTACGAAACTTATAATTACATGTGCCGAGGAAGAGGAGGTTTTTTTTTTTTTTTTTTTTTTTATAATGAAAATAGTGATATCTGATATTTGATTTTGTTTCTTCTTTTAGGTTGCTGGAGAGTCTAAGTCGGTTGCTGCTTCAAATTCTAGTGCAGATGTTACAGGGAGGGTCAGACCCAATGAAGGTGTTAACAACGTATTGCCTTCTACAATTACGAGAGATAATGTTGGCACGGTAAGTTAAAAACAAGGTTACCAATTATTTATCCTATCTCTTTTCTGTTGACACTTGTTAACACCTTCCCCACTTCCACTCCACCTGTTCCCCCAGGACAAAAAAAGGAAAACATAGGCAAAAAGTATAGAATAACGGGGACTTTCTTGATCAAGTTTATGAAAATTTGGTTGTAAGAGGGCTAGAGGCTTACATTGAGTATCTGAAATAAAATTTTCTTTTCCATTGTGAAACAGAATTTTCAAGAATATTTTAATGCCGAATTGTCTATACGTCAAAACATAATCTGATAGTGAGACATATTTCAGATTCATGTCTATTTAATAACCGAAGGACTTGCTTACATGATGAACAAAAACTTATCAGTTGAATATCAGACCTACCTCCAACAAGCTTTTCGGGAACTCGGGGTTTGTCTTTTCTCCTCTTTAATGCAATTCATATATTTCATTTCTCCGTGGCATTGCCATGTAGTAGCACTTGTATAAATGTGCTGGATGCATTCTCATCCAATTGTAATGCAATATTGATTCTCACCCTCAATTATCTCTCTCAATTTTCCTCTTTCACTCTCCACATTCCAATTCTCTCCACCATTGTTCACAATTCCAACACTTTCAACCAGTTTAATTAATGAGTATTTTAGACTATACACCCTATTTTACCAATAAACTCAACATAACTAATCATTTTCAAAGAAGTGTGCACAACAGAGATAGAATATATTTTATTGACCAAGTTGATCTGCTTTTTCTGTCAATGAATGTTGTCCAATCACCATACCAAACTACATGCGCCACCAGATAATAATTTTAATTTCTTTGGACTATGGTTGCAGGTCAATATGCCACCAAGACTTCCAACAAAAGCTGTTTGTTTTGAGTATTTTGAACTAAGAAATGAAATACTAACTTTCAGGAATCTAATAAGTCCGGTATGTTGAAATTCCTACCTATGCTTTTTTAAAGGAATGCTTTTTTAATATAGTTCGAATTCCTACGCTTTTGAAATTTATAAAACAATACATATGTTTGCTGAAATTTTAGTGGGGGCATGTGACCCCATACATATGCTGTAGATCCGTTGCTGTGAGCTGCAGAATCAGGAGGCCTACGGTGGTTCATCTTTTCGTGATGATCTGGATCGGATTTATGGTAAAACAAATTCTAGGGGTAATAACGGATTAGTTTTGCTTTCACCTGCTATCTGATTTTCTCATTGTTGAAAATTTCATCTACATATCATTAAATGCATGCGTGTAATTAACTGGTTTCAGGGGGAAGAGCTGGTAAAAAGGATCAAAAGAGTAAGGTACACATATCTGTTTCTAAATTTTATTTTTAAGTACTCTCTTTTTTCCCACATGCTTATAGAAATTAGACCAATGCCAAAGCACATAAGTTGTTTTTTGTAATCTTGGAAATGGTACTTGTAAAGGCGTCAGGACAACGTAAAAAAGCTCCATCAACAACCCAATCAAAAAGAAAGAGAAAATAAAGACCTCATATCTGTAGATCCCTAGTAAGAGTTTGAATTCACCACAAATCTTTTGTTCAACGTTATTGTCTTGCTTTGGTAGTCCACTGTAGTCACTAATGAGTTTTGCATGCTTTCTTTTAGGTGGCAAACGAAATGAATGTTACGATCTGTAGTGCTCTTTTGATATGAATAATGCATCTTGTGGTAAGCTGCAGTGAACTCAAAACTCCTAGCAATTCTGATTGTGGTTACTTTAGTTTAGAAAATTATTACAAGTTTTTTTTTTAATGCTCAATGCTAAATGGAACAATGAGGTTCGCATCTTCAACGAATACCGGTCGCCAGGTGTTAGTGACTAACCAAGCTTATTAGGATTTGAATGTAATTGGGTTTAGGAGTTGTGAATATTCCAGAAGTTTGTGGATGTTTACGTTATCTGTCAAAGTACCTCAAATCTCAAAGCAATTATATAAGGATGTAGAAATTGGTTTGTATGGAGAAGCTGACAGAACAATTGACAAGCCTAGGGGAATATTATATGGAAATGAAAAATATAAATTGCAAAAGAAAAACAACATTCATTTTGTTCCTCATACCATGCATGATCAATAGGAAAATATAAGAAAATTTCACAATACGCCCCCAGAACATGGGGACTTATCAGTAAATTCAAGCGTATACCGGTGGTGAATTGAGAAATTCAAGTAATCATTGAAAGGATGGATTTTTTTCTTAACCATCCAAGATTAACAAAGGTGTTTATTTTGAATCGTGGAAGCTGTAATAGATTAATGAGGGATTACAATAAATGAAGTTTGGAATAACTAACTGATGAACTTAGTTGATAAAATTCATTTCTTTTCCTGTCACATAATTTTAGCACAATGCTTATGCCAAATTATTTATGCACAACACAGTCTTTTGAAGAAATATTTAATCAAAATTGTGAAAAATAGACAAAGTAAGATTAACTGGATTTAGGTTAAATAATATTGAGTTGTTAATTTAATAAAGTTCTTTGACTTCTCTAAATTTATTCTAGAATTTTCAAAATTAATAATCAACAAAATAGTTTGAATGAAAAGAGGTGTAAAGAGACAACCTCAGCTGTGTTGGACCACTAGTTGTGCCTATCATCCCTTCTTATACTGTAGAGTCCAACACACTCTGTGGACGTAGTTGAACAGGTTTTTGATAAAATTGAATTAATCATCCAAACGCAACCAATCATTTTCTTCGTTTAATTCAATGTTCACACAGAAGGAGTAATATGCAAAACCTTCTTTCATCTGTTTCCGCTTCACCTCTTCAGGCTTATACACTCCATACTCAAACTCACACTTATCTTCGCCACAGAGTACACAAACATGGTCTGCTTAAGCCTCACCGTGCTGTCAAACAGCAGAGCCAAACTAGCATAAGAACTTCATGGCCTAGCGTATCACTTTCGCTTTTTGGTGCAGGCTTCTTATTTGGTCCACTGCTCGATGGACTCCATTCAAGAGTCGATCTTGTCGTGTACAAGTCCGGGTCTATTGACATTGGTCCACTCCATACAAATATCTGGGTAGGTTTCAACTTCAGTTTCTTGTACAATTACAATGCACCCTTGTTCATGTTATACAACCCTTATTTCTAGAAATATGCATTCGCAAAAACCATCTAAATTTAAGCGTTTGGATGTGCGCTTCTGGATAATTTATGCAGTTTTATCTGTCTTATCCAAATTGATATTGATAGGTTCCTCCATTGTTGGGGTTGTTTTACTGCTCGGTTGGTTTGCTTCAACTCTACCTAGACGAGAAGGTGTTAAACAAGGTTCAAGAGGGAAGTTTAACAAAAACAATTGCCTCCCTGGTGTAAGTACTCACTGCAATATATATATATATATATATATATATAACTGATACATAAACACTTATCATGATAATCATATGATTCTCTCGTCTTAGATTAGTGGCGCTGTTCATAGAGTTGAGTGCGGAACTATACAATGCGGGAATAGCAGACAACATTGAGGCCTACATATTGTTTGCTGCTGCAGAGTTCCTATGGTTTTTGTTGGATAGAACACAGCCAGGCTTCACCCTAGCATGCCTAGTTGGAGTTGCTTGTCCACTAGCTGAGATACCCTTAATGAAGTAAAACATTATTCTTTCCTCTCCCTGTTAAATTTGTTTGGCTATTGATGGCTGCTACCTCACTTTTTTCTCCTTTCAGGTTCCTTCACCTTTGGTACTATCCTCAAGCCAATATTGAAATCTTTGGCCAGGTAATTCATGTTACAAACACTTTCTCCAGTAATAAGTATACAAGAGTTATGACTTGTGAACCACTGACACTAACATAGACAATAAGTGTAAAACTTGCTAGGTTCTAAAACAAATTGTAATGAATTCTATTTTGTTTCTATGTGTAGGGGCTAGTTACTTGGACACTCACTTGCTACTTTGTGTACACGCTGTTCTTGATTAATCTGTCACGGTGGTTCAGAACAGTTTATGCCACTCAAACAGAGGAGACTGATTCATAAAACACTACAATGTGATATTGCCGTTTACTCTATTATAATAGAATAGGAACCATATATCAGATATTTATTAATCACACATTATCCAAACGTATTCTAGTCTAATTTAAACAAGAGAAATAATGTATAGATGAGTTTTCTTATTTTTATTTTTCTATTACTTAAAAAAAACAATCTTATTGCAGAAATATATCTCCAAAAATATAATTTTAAAAATAATAATTTTAACTAAATGTTATCATTAATACTATCGTAGACATTCATAATAATAATTACAATAAGAAATTCTAAACAAAATTAAGGAGTTGGCGGTTTACGGTTGGATTGCCCATAGTCCATAGAGTATCCGGCCTAGATAGTATATTTGGAGGGGCTTCTAAGCATTACTTTATCTATCTCATATTGAAAATTAGAATTTGCCCTTTCAATATTTCAAAAATAATCACCAAACACACTTTAATTGCACACAATATTTTATAAGTGAGTCATTCATCTCATATTTGTTAAAAATTGATTTGAAGATGCTTATACGGACGCACTCTAAAAAAAATTAGAGAGATATATCTTTGGAGTAACTCTTAAAAACACTTTGAACTTCATAACTAGATCATTCGCTTTACATATTATTTCGTTGATGTATCTCTGTAAATTTTAGGGTGATTTTGCAGATACATCCATAAAATAACGTCTGCAAACATTTGTAAGTTTTTTTCTTGACATAAGTTTGTCCCAAATTGATTTTTTTAGGCCAACTAATATTTTTAGGCCATTGATATCAAGGATATCATAAAACCAATTAGGGTCCGTTTGGTTCAACGGAGGGGAGGGGAGGTATTTTAATTAAACGTATGTTTGGTCCATAAGAGGGGGAGGGGAGGGGAAAGAGAAGTTTTATTCAAATATATGTTTGGTTCGCTGGGGGAAGGGATGGGTTTTAAAACTAACTTACCTTTTTACCCTTAAAATATTATAACAATCATCAAATAAATTTTACAAAAAAAGTATTCACAAAAAAAAATTGTTAATTCATAAAAAACATAGATAATTAAACACAAAATATTTAACATTTAAAATACTCTAAAATATCTTAAAATGAAAATAAAATATTGATAAACGTCATAAAATTAAATTATATGATCAATGATCATATGAACCATTTTCTCATCTTGATGATCCATTTAATCTTATAACATATTTATAAGATTAAATTCTACATAATATATAACTCATACTACAATTATATATTGATATGTAATATAATACAATAAATTATAAAATAATTAAGTTATTACAAGCAAAATATTAAATAAAAATGAATAGAATAAAACACATGGAAAAAAAATTTGAATCATAATAATAAAATTAATGGAGTTGTCATTAAACAAATGAAGGAAGTATAATAAGGTGACAAAAATTAAGGTATAATATTAATAAAGATAATTAAAAATTTTATTAAATAAAAGTGAGGATAATTTTGTCAATATAATAAAAATACATGTTATCATAACTCCTCTACTTTCCCTTCCCTCCGAAAACCCCCAATTTAGAGGGAACGAAAAAAATGCTCCAGGAGAGATTCTGATTACCTCCAATCCCCTCCCCTCCCCTCATAAAAATTGAACCAAATACACCTATTTTAAAATATTCTCTCCCCTCCCCTCCTCTCCAAAACCCCCCAACCAAACAGACCCTTAATTTAATTTAAGGAGGTCATATATAAATTCAAATGTTAGTACAAATCCAAACTACAGATGTTATCAATATACAAATACAAACAATAATACAAAAAATTTCAAAATAAAAATTATTGGATATATATAATTAAATTCCCACGGTTCCTTCTGTACCTCTTGTACTATAAAGCAAGTTGTGCCTTGACCATCATGGCATGTTGTTAATCTGATATTTTCTACTTAGTAGGAAAAGTCAAGTGAATGCTGCATTAGTAAAATGCTAAGTGTTGGCATTTGATGGATATGAGTCGACATTGGTGATACGTCGACAAGGCTTTCTCGACTAATATTTTGAGATAACTTAGGAAAATCTCAAAGGAAGATCATGAGTTTTGGTTTGAAGAGTCTTAGAAAAAGGCATGAATGCCTACCCGACCACATGTTGAGAACGAGTATTTCGCCAAATTTTAAGGACTTGGGAAATATAAGAAGCTTAAACACTATCAGGAACTACCTTTAACGTACAGGAAGTTACTAGTGATTAAGAGCAGTTAGAAAATGTGAGATATTGGTTTCAACAGTTTCAAAGCCTTGGCGACATGGCAATACGTTGGAAGATGAGTTGCATGCATTCAAAGACATGTTAGAGCTCTAGGGGTAAACTATCGAGAACCATTATTTATAGTTTAGTATACATAGCAGACTCATGTGTTGTAATCAAGGTCGCAAATTTCATATACATTCTCTATAGAACTCGAATATCCAAGGCAAAAAGCGAAATTGTTTGTGAGCAATAATGTGATTCTGCGTCCTTTTTCTTTGTACCTTTTTTATGTTTCCTTAATTTAAACATCTTTTTTCTTGTCATTTACTGCATTTCATTTAATGTTGTTTATTTAAAGTTTCTTTTACTTTAATTTAAGTTTTATTGTCTTTAAAGTTCACAGTTAAATTGTCTGTAACCAAACATTTATAGTCACATCCTACACTTACGTCTTAGTAAAAGTGTTCGCACAAAAAAAATTCAAGATTTTTTGAGTTAATCTTAAAGACTTTCAAACTCGTGATTGTTCGTTAAAAACATCTGCGAACAAATTGACACATCTGGTGGAACACACATGGTTTTTTTTTGTCAAAAATACTTTTCTCTTTTGAAGAAATGGTAGTATTATACACTCAATTATCATTGATTTAGTTCCAATGTCCATTAACGTGTGTGCTTGAGGAGTGGTAAGATTTTTAATATCTGGGGTCACACTCGTTTGAGGAGTGGTAGGATTTTAGCAGGAAGGGAAAACCTAAAGAACAATTCTTGAGCCCGAAACGATGCTCCAAACTCTGAACCACTAGTTACTACAACAATTGGTGCAACAGGGACAATGAATACTATCGGAGTCACATACACTATCTTAACTTTGGTCCTTACTTCAACGTCGATTCTAAGAGTGATGGTTACTTTGCCATTGGTAACAAGCGTACCAACCTCTCCCAGGCCTACTACGATGGTTATCGGGGACCATAGCCCCCATATGTCCCAAGTTTTACTATGACTTTGGTTACGAGGGATCCCGTATGGTATACCAACTGCCATGATGGCAGGCTTACATATTTACACTTTGACGTTTGTAGATGATTATGCAACAATAGCATCACATCTCAGTCTATATTTGGCGCCGGGATCTGCTATAAGTAAACCTAATTGCATAGGGCAACCGAAAGGGGGATTTCAATATGGCCCCCCAACAATGCCAACTTTAACTACTAATTCCTTAGCAACCACGAGGCAAAAAATGGACGAAAGTTACCATGAAATGATGAATATGTTGACACAACAATTAGGTAGGGTGTTCAATCCTTTGATCCAAAACACCACCAAAAGTTACTAACAGTTAGCCAATCAAATAGGAAGGATTGGTGACTTTTTTGGGGTGCCCCTGGCGTCAATTGAACCACCACCTATTAATTAGGTTCTAGTCGAACAACCTCCATCGAAGATAGTTGAAATGAACCAAGCCTAGAATGGTTCTGAAATACTTATGGTGCCTAGAAACCAGGATGCCGACGAAGTACTTAGAAACGTCGAACAAAATAATTTTGGGGGACAAAATAATATAACTAATGTGGTCAAACAAATATTGAGCCAAAACGGATCCCCACTCTTCACGTTAGTCTGCATGGGCCCAATTATGGATCCCCATTTTCGAAATATGTTCGACAGACCGAACTCCCCATTGGTTGGAAAGTCCCCGAATTCACTAAGTTTTCTGGTGAGACTAACGAGTCCACAGTCGAGCATGTTTCTAGATACTAGAGAGAGGCAGGGGATATAACTAATAATAAGAGTTTAAATATGAAATACTTTCCAAATTCTAAAAAAAATATGCCTTCACGTGGCTCACCACACTCCCCCCTAATTCCATACATACTTGAAGTTAATTAGAGAGAGTGTTTCATGAACAGTTCTACATGGGCCAGTAGAAAATTAACCTTAAGAAACTGGCCAACATTAGGTGTAAGATGCCTGAATCGATTGGTGACTATATGAATAGATTTAGACGTCCTTATATGTGTAAATTAGTGAAACCTTCAAATGGGAAAAATTCTATTGAACCTAAAAATGAAAATTTTGTCACAAAGAACTTATACATATGATGTAACTAAGTGTGACGAGATTTTTAACCTTTTAATTTCTGATGGCCAAATAGTAATGCATAAAGGATTGAAAACTTCGTCTTTAGAAAAGAGAAATAAAAAAAGGTTTTTGTAAATTTCATAGTTTTCCAATAGAAGATAGAAAGAAAAAAGGTTTTTCGTAAATTTCATAATTTTCTATGACATAAAACCTCACAATGTGCGCTTTTCATGGATTTCATTCAGAATGCGTTGAAGGATGGAAGGCTAAAGTTTGATGAAAATAAAAAATCTCAACCAGAGGGAGAGCATGAGCCTAAATTTGAATAGGCTTTGTTCGTCGATCCTGTCAACGTATTCATGATAGACATAACTGAGAGCACGAAGGGGCTAAACCAGACTATGAAGAGGAGTTGAAAGTTGTTTTTCCTAAGGTTGAGGAAGAACTCACAAATTTTTTGAATAGGTGTAAGCTCAAATATTTTAAGATTATGCTATGTCCACTTTGCAACACCATCTTTGATAGAGAAGCGGTAAAAAATTTGGAAAATACCAATACTAATCATTCAAAGAGAGTTGGTCGACGGGACAAGCGACAAGAATTTTTCTTTAACAAGAGGGGAATCCTTAAGAAAGCTCACATGCCTAAGACTTATGTACCACATGTTGATAATTTTGTCAAAGATTGGTTTGGACCTA